TACTTCTTTTTAGGAAACCACAGTGTAGTGAAGCCTTGCGTTTCATCCAAGCACTACAGTTTTCATGCTAACTCTTACTTCGCCTATTTATAGGTAATGCTTTCGAATCAAGTCTGTCCCCGCTCTCTTCGGGGGCCTGCACTAGTAAAAGAGAGGAGAGGGGTTTCTGTTACTCTGTTCAGGGTCACTGAAGCTGAAGAAAACATCACGTCTTATTTCAGACAAATGCTAATAACACCAGGGAAAGATAAAAAAAAATGTCTAGACATGCTTATGTCAGAGCTCAGAACTTTATGAAAACAAAGACTTAAGAGAGTATGAAACAAGAAGTCTCATATTTAGAGGACGTAGATATTAAAAATCAAGAGTTTAAGAGAGGAAGAGGAAAAAATAAGCAGGTTAAATCTACACATTTCTATCTGGCAGAATGAATTTCGGATGGTCTGGTGCAACCATCAACTTGACTCATAGCTCCTTAAGAGATCTTAATGGAAAATGAATTACATGCCACTACTCTTTTGCATCTAGAGAAATGGCATTTCAGTGTGAAAGAAACACTGACATGGATCAGCAATAGCAATAAATAACAGGGACATCTGATAAATTAGGTGACATCAGTTAAACCATCTCATAGGCTGGTCACCATAGCAAATTTTGCTGGATGATAAATTATCTAAGAAGTTATTACACAAAGTGACAATGCTGTTGTTTTGAGATCATTCCTGTAATATCACTGAAAGCCTTAAGAATGGAAGCTTATCCCAGACCATGATGTATGCACAGTGACTACTGAGTTACTCTGTTGCACCTACTGATAGAGTATTGGTGTAAAAAGGACTGGGTTGGAACCAGAATGCTGACTCTGAGTCATGTTTATCTGTGGCTAACAGTTCAGACTCTGCAGAGCGCCTTTACTGGCGCACGCAGGAAATGCTATAGAGAAAGAGGAGATGAACCACGACTTTCACACAAAGCAGGCTTCACACAGTGCACCAGCATCAAGACTCGGCTGTGCAGTCGCTCACTGTGACTCAGAGGGTCAGTTTGTGTTTTCATGTTGCAGACGGACGACACAGGGAATGTTGCAGCACAGAGCGATGGCCCTGTGCTGCAAAGCCATCGCTCAAAACACACCGGCGCAGCCTGCTCTTCAGCCAACATGCTACACCCTCTCTCTGAGGCGAAGAGGAGAGCAGAGAGAGAGAGACTTCATCTGCACACTGATCAGGTTGAAAAAAAGCAAACTGATGCTAAAGGAGGAAACTGATTTATCACACCTCAGGGTTACATAAAATCTGTTCAAAGTAAAAGAAAAAACATCCACTGTATCTCTGCAACACGTGGAACTTTGAGAAACCCCAAAACAACATCAGAATATGAATATAAACAGAAACTGGCTGATCACTAAATAAGAGCACAACTCTCTTGTGTGAACACACCTGTGGTACAGATGTGCAAAAGTTGAATGAATAGTTTTGCAAACCAACAAATATCAGCCACTCTGAGCCCGGTTTCTCTTCAATTAAGTTAAACAGACGTTATTTAGTTTCCTGTGATATGATGACATTTTTTAGTAGAATTTCCAAAAATTAAAGAAAAATGTCTCAGTAGGGTGTGTTGTGATTTTTTTCTAGGTTTGTTTTATTTCTGCAGACATCTCTATTGGAGAACCTGTGCTTTATTTTCCCGGAAATTTTTTTTTTCTTTAAAAAAAAATATTGCTAAGTAAGTTCAATTTTCAATGTATCTGTAAAGTAAAAAAAAAAAACAGATTTAGTAATTATTTTCACATCAGTATTTGGAAATCAGCAGCCAAATCTCTGATCAGTGCACTGTCACTCAAGACCATTGCTTATCTATTTTAACAGTAGATAAGTTAGATTATGTGACAAACTGGGTCAACCTGGAATGGACTGCAGCACAACCATTAATTATATAAGAATCTGACATACACCACTAAACCCAACATATTTTCTAACTCAGCCATTTGCAATCCAAAAAGTCATTTTTCCCTCAATCCAGCAAAACAGAGCCACAAATGTTACATGAACTGTTCTGTTTCTATTTTTAGGTTTAAAATAAAGAAAAACATAAAAGTTGGTAAAATAAAACAAATGGAATGACTAACCTCTTTTCTCTGGGATGCTGAAATAATGTTAAAAAAAAAAGTTTTAAACCTGAAGACAAAAAAATCAATCTAAGAAAATACTTCTATTGTGGAAATTAAATACCATTATTCCATAATAAAAGAGAAAAAACTACTAAAAACTTGCTTTTGTTATTTGAGCTATACTTAAAAACATTAGCTAGTTATGATAAATTTTTAGTCAAAAGTATTAGGAGCCACTGTGGAAGGTTAAAAAGCCACTTGCGGCTCTGGAGCCTCATGTTGCAGATCCTAAAGGCTCCTGTGTGGGACAGAAAGTTTGTGCTTGACAAACTTAATGATAGTTAATAAGGTTTTTATTTGGAACCTTGATGATATAAAATCATTATCAGCTTTAAGGTTTGGGAGAAACTCTTTCACAATGTAATCTCTTGATCGCAGGACAAACTGTTTACTTGGAGCCTTCACGGATAAATAATGGAGAACAAAGTGGCTAGCTCTGCTCTTTCAAGTGACTGTGGCCAAGGAGATTTGAGATCTCTTTATCTCTCTTTATTTACCCATAAATCCTTTAACCTATCAGACAACCTCTTCTTCCTGTCATGAAAGATTAGAGCCAGATTAAGCTGGTGACGTTATGTCTCCAGCACACTCCCGCTGAAGGCTGGCAGAGGAGGTATTTGAGTCCAAACAGGGCTCTGTGCTCCACAGCTCAGGTGGATCAGAGTGGGTAGAGGTGCAGGTTGTCCTTCAGGGGCTCTTATCTAATCAAAAGCAAAAATCTTGAGAACCACAGTGAGCTTCAGCATGGTCAGCTGGTGCCAAAGTGACGTTCTGTTGCCAAGGATGGACTATAGGGTCAGCTGAACCTACAGATATAAGAAGATGACTAGACTCCACAGCCACATACCAAGCTCACTAATGAAAGAAAACATTCTGTACATTTCTGACAAGAAAATATGAGGCTCCCTGGAAAAAAATGATAAACTTTAACTCTAAGGAGACTTGTAGAGTTTTAAGGGATTAAAAAAAAAAAAGAAAAACAACCGAAAGCTAAATCGAGTTAGCCTATCAGTGCAGCTATTCAAGCTTGAAATAGCATCTTGATGCTAAACAGGTAGCAGAAGCACCAAACCCCCCAACGCTAATGTCAGCGATCGATCACTGTCCACATTTCTGAAGAAGTATTTCAAAACAAGTGCTAAATGAATGATCAGGGGTTTGCACCAATTTGATAGATGAATAACCTAAATAACAGATGCAAAATAATAGATATCTTAGTTGTTGAGCCCAGTTGTCAATTTATTCAATAATGTACCAGGAAGAAGCGATTTTAAATTGGAAATGGTGCTTTTTTTTAACATGGTTTTCTATTAAAATACAATTTATTGCAATTTTTTAAAGTGATTACAGACCCTGAAATTAACTCCATTAAAAAAATTTTGAGTCCAAGCATTAATTTGTAGATAATGCAGACGTGGTTCAAGCTATTGATTTATTGTGTTATCAATGGTTACATCCAAAGAATACGAGGGACTCACTTTGCATAAAAATTTCCTCACATGCAGAAAAACTGCTGCAAAAAATGTTTCTGGATCATCATGATCACATTTTGTGTGACAGGTTTTGTTGCAGCCAAGAAGATCAGGCCAGCTCCCGAACTGTCTTCTCCTTAGGAATGTGCTATACATCTGCACATAAACTGAGGCCTTCACTTTTCACAGTAAAGTGTCCTCATACAGTTTATGTGTTTGGAATGAGCATCTTACATTTCTATCCAAAAAGACCACCATGAGCATGATCAAAATACAAAATGGGCACAATACTAGCCAACATTATCAAGTAATGTTGACACTTCATGTCACAACCCCAAAGACATGAAGTGGATCAAAGATCAGAATGTTTACATTTTGGACGCATCTCCAAAAACTATGAATCTGTCAATTAGGAGACTTCAGTTTTCACATAGAAACTAAAATCTATCATAACTGCAGACATTATGACAAAGGAAAAATTGTACATCTCATAAATTTGGTGCATTTGCTGAGACTAGCTTTCAGAAAATTTAAAGTGACTTTTAGTATTCTGCAGAACAGCCTAGAAAGAAGCAAAAAATAAATAAAAAGCTACACAAAGTTGTCGACTATAAAGGAACATTCACAATTTAAACCTGTGATATCTAGGTTTAAGATACAAGCAACAAAAGAAAAATGTATATCTCTCAATTAAAATAATGGAATTATTATTTGCAATTATCATCTCTGAGAAATCGATTATCAAATGGATATTATTATCATTATGTTGTAAAACTCCTCAGGAGTGCAGGAACAGTTCTTCTGCTTCAGGTACCTCAAAGCTGCTTTCTGGATTCCACTCCCCAGCTTCAAGCTGCAAGCCTGTGCATGCTACCCTACACACTGTGGTGACAGTTAAAAATCCAGACATGAGACTTCTTCACACATGATTCACATTCAAGGTATGGCTGACGAGTCACAGTACTGCCGCAGGGACTGCGGCACCAAACCTGAAGATTGGGAGGAACTTCACTAACAGGAGATTTGAAGAGGACCAACAAAATACTTGATCCTTTTCTCGTTCTTTGAAAAAACCTTAAGGTTCAGCTAAAGAAAGCTGATGTGATCAGGTTCAGATAATGGTCGCTTTACTTGGTGAATCTGTATGAGTTCATCACATACTGCTATGTGTTAAAAGGTTACACCAGTGTGTGGATTTTCTCACAAGCTGGACATGAGAGGATGGCCTTTTTCAGGCGCTAGATAGATGAGGAGGTGGAGCTAATCTAAATCAAGTGGGACAAAGTTCAACTTTAGTCTTAAGAAAAAGATATCCTCAGACTTTTCTTAGCTTTGTTTTTCAAGTGTGAATGACTCACTCTTGCAGGAGTGCTGTCTGGGCCCTCTGCAGCATGTCCTCTCAGGTTAATGACGTGGACCTCCTGAGACAGACTCATGGTGCCTTTGCTTGCACAGCCTGACATGGCGGTGAAGCTCTTCAGGATGGCCTGCACAGGGTGTCCAGTCCCGACCGGCAGCAGCTCACATGGACTGCGAAGCAATGGCCCTACAATGCAAAAACATCACAAAGAACACACACATCACATATATGTTAACGGAATATATATTTGCAATATATATTCTGTAGCAAAAATGAACATCATCCAGGCAACTAGACAAAAAGAGTTGAAGTTATGATTGAGTCGTGCATACACAGGGGAGCAACCTAAAAAAGGACAGGATTATGTTTTAATTATGGTCTATGTCAGAGCTTACTATATATGAAGCTACATTTAAGCAACAAGATTTATGGGTTGTTTACAGGCTGCACTGAAGAATGAGGGCATGCCACACTGTACACTTCTGTTCTGTCTGCCATCTGTACGACCCACTTACTCAAAGCCAGGGTCTTTACTTTGTCACCAAAGGCAGCGTGGTACGTAACAAGATTCAGTCGTTGAAGAAATGCAGCACACCGCCCAGTAAAATGTGACTAAACAGGGTCAAGTTTTCACCTCTCAGTTCATCCAACAGCCTTGTACCAGTCAGGGCCCGCTAACATTTCAAATGCACCGCATTAAACCAACAAAGCTTGCCAACAGCAATCTGATGGAACATGTGGAAACAATTAAAGTTTGAGCGCAAGACAGTTCGATGGCAATTGTAAATTTTTCCCCGACTGAAAACATAGTGCCTCAGCAGAAGGATAAACCGCTGGGGAAAAGTCGGCTTCTTTTTCAATCTCGAACACACAGCCATTGTTTTCTCTTTCTGTGCTCGCCAATAAGTCTATGTTAGATCAGCATAACGCTGCACATCACACACGGCACAGCTCCCCTGGGTTTGTTGTGAGAAAATCAGGCACATTTTACTGTTCCAATACTTGTCTGAGGAGGGAAAAAGCTATCTCGAGCTGAATTTTATGCCACCTCACCATTTACCCAAACACAGGGAGAAAGAAGCTTATTAGGAGCTTCAAGATCATGTTTAAACTGATTTTAAAAAGTAAGATCCCGCAAAGTGATAAAAACAGAAGGCCTAATGGCAAAAACCTGTGGTGGATCAGTATTTCCACACTCTGCCTTTGACCCCGATACCCGTTTCCTCCCAAAGGAGCGCAGGCAATTCCCTCCCTGAACGTCACGTCTCACTCCCACAAACACATCCGAGGGCACTCCGACTCACTTTTTCCCCCCCACTCACATGGAGAATAACAAACAACCGCCAAACAAACAAAGAAAAACGCAGCTTCTTGTCAGAGACGTCCAAGAGATTACAGCACCAGCTGGAGAGTGATCTGATTTTCTAATTCTTTGAGAGCACATCAGAACAAAAGATAAAAAGAAAGGGGAAAAAGTAAGGAGACTACACTTTTTTTGCCAGTACACATTTAGGTAAATAAGACAGGTAAGATAGTTTAGAGGTTTTAAAGAAAGTTACTGTTGAAAAGTTGATAACAGTGGATAACTTTATTTTCTTGGTTCCTGAAATTTGGGCTAGTCTTAACCAAGATCCAAGATTAGAGCAAATTAATTAACGTCATTTTTGTGGATTTTTATAATTAACTGCTTCTATTTCCTGATAGTTACATAGGGCAGAAACAACCTACGTGTTTTATAACCCAGTATGTGTTTCACACAGGAAGATAATTGGTGGCCTACCACCTCCAGCCCCCATTTCCTTTGTACTTTACCATTGGAGTATGCTCATAATCGTCCAAACAGCTAAACTTCATAAAGTACTGCTCACATAAGTCAACATAATAATTTTGAGTTTTTATTTTGGTGCAGCCTCATTTTATTAACAAACATAGACACATTCTGTAAAAATTTGGCAGTTTCAAGAGTTTCAATAAAAATATACAAACAAAAGCAAAATGTTTTTTCCTACTGTTAATAATTAGGGGTGCAGCAATACATCAGCCCTTATTTCTTTCATTTTGGGAGATCTGCAATCAGCTGATACATGTAAAGCCGATCTTATACACTGATTCTTATCTTCCTCTGTCTCCTTTTCATTTGCCTCGAGAGGGATGACTGACAGACCTGCCACCAAATCACATCTGCATATGCACAGTAAACAATAGTCACTCCACTTTTCCTACTTTAGCTCTTTCATTGCAATATTTTGCCACTCTTCCAATAAAAAGAAATGATATTGGTTGAAATCAGAATCAGTTAAATCAGTCTTTTTAAAGACTGTGATCACTAAAAAAATTACAATCACTGCACTTATATTCTGATTATTATGGTTAGAATATAATCTTTATTGTTTATTTGTAGGGTTTTTTTATGCAAAAAACCTTCAAGTAAAAACCTGCAAAACCTAGCAGTAGTTGTGTACAAGTGCATTCTGTGCAGAATTCTACACCTTTTTGCCTTCCTGTTCTTCATATACTAAAACTGTTATCAGCTGGTCGATTAGTTACGCTTTTCACAGCTCGTAGTTCTCCCCTTGTAGTTTCAGCATATGCATAATAGTATGGGACGGCACTCCTTAGGTTTTCACATTGTGATTGAGGATCTTGTTCACAAGCGGACATATTTGTCACAGCCAAACTTTTCTTTTTTATGAGCAAAGCGTACATGTCAGTCTTCTTTTAGCCAGTGGGGAAAGAGAAATGCTTCACTATTGCATGTTTCATATATAACAAAACCTAGTTCTGGACCCTCTGTTCAAGGGACCAACTACTCTGATTTATATTCAAAGAATCTGCTACGAGAGTTATCTACAGGAGGTATGGTCTGAACTGCCTTAACCCCTTCAGAAGCCCTGAACTGTCCCTTTAGTCAAAAATCTTGGTTCTGTTTCCAGTGCATATGTCATTTCTATTAGACTAAAACCAGAAGACACAGGAAATAAAGCTAGCATCTGTTGGTTCCACCACATAATCTGTCTGCCTCTCTCCCCCACTTCTGTCCTCATTTTCAGTTATTCTTCTTCTTTCATCACTGGTTGTGTTCTATCCGGGTCAGGTCTTTTACGCAAACCCCAGTAAGTCATAGAGGACACACAGGCTTTTAAATTTGGATATTGACATTTAATTGCTCATACTCGTCAAAAGTGAACCTTTGTGAGATAACCAAATTAAGTTGGTGTTGAAAAACTTGACACGGTTCTATTGCAAATGTATCAAGTAGGTACTACTGTATTTATGTAACAGTTTTATGTCTGAAAGTAGGGCATATATATAATTAAGAGATTTCAATGAGTTGATATATGTTTCTTATTTGTACCAAAGGAAACTCTGCACATTTAAAACTGAGTTAAAGAAATAGCCCTTTGAAGCCATTGAAAAACAGCTGCTTAAGCATTAAATGCTAATGCTGATTGCATTATCAAGAGAAAGATCTGAAACAGTTCAGTTTTTGATTCTTGACAGCCACTGTAAAATGGAACAAACAAACAAAGGCTCAGAAATAGATTAGTTTGTTTAGATTATGAAATCCAGAAAAAACATGGCTGCTGTCCAGACTGCTGTAGTTCACTGGAGCCACAAAGGCCTTAAAAAGCCTAAGGGTAGCTTGTTTTGAACATTAAAATAAGCTACATAATAGCTTAAAAGTGTCACGCTTCATTTCGGACAGGCATCAGGAAAGGCAACTTTCAGTGACAGTCGCTGGTGTAAAAACCACGTGTAATAGTGAAACAAGACTTTGTGGTTTTAGCTCTGAGGCTGAGAAGTTAAAGCACTTAGAAACTTTCACCGCCTCGCTTATTCTCTCTGGTAGTCGGTGGCTTCAGAAATGAAGCTACTGGGACTTGAGTTGAGTCTCAAACTGAATTAATATGCTACTGAATCAAGAGTCAGTTTCCTTAAAGCTCGTGGCAACAGAGAATGTGCACCAGTAGCTATAAAATGTGATGTTCAAATTGACGCCCCTTTTCTATGTCTTATTATTTGTGTTCAGAGCAACAACCACAAAGAGAAAACGGATACCTAACACACAAATGCGCTTCTAGCATGACTCACTGGTAGGTGTGTGGAGGTGTCGGCATGCAAGCCAAAGCATTGGCTTTTTGTTGTAAGGCAAGATGATCTAAAAAAAACTGAACACTTAATTTCATCAACCCAGCAAGCTTTGTCACTGTTCTTTTGATATCTTAAGATAACTGTGCTTTTTCTCAGAGTAACTGTACCTTCACTGTGTTCTTCAGTAAACAGGGTGGTTCTCCTTGTGACTGATTTTATACATATTGAAAGAAAATGATCTGGAATATTCATAAACCACTCTGCTGAGGTTGATGTCTCCACCATAGTAACATCAAAAGACTGAGATACAATTTGTAACATCAGCTCAGCAAAAGACACCAATTCTGAATCTTTCGATCTGTATTAAACTGAAAATGAAGATGAAAAGCTGAAAGTTTTTTTAAACTTAACTCTTCATCTCATTTTATGTTCTAGCTTAAAGTGTTGTTATGGACATTTATATTTGAAAACATTGTTATTCGTCAACATTTTTAGAGGTCAAAATATAAATTGTAAAATCTGAAGCTGTCCTTCATTTTAGTGAGCGTAACACTTTTCAGTTGTGGTCAGATTCTCCAGAGTTCATGAGCAGGACTCTCTGCAGAATGACTGATTGTTCACAATGTGTTAAACACATGGACATGAAAGACTAAGCACCAAAGACTGACGTTCACCTTGACCCATGCTTCTAACCACACAGTTAAAAGTTTATTTGTTCAATTTTGGTTTTGGTTGAGGGACAGAGAAAGTCTCCAGTATCAAGAACGCATAACATGAGCCTAACAGAAATCTTGAATTTGCCTCCCAAGATCACTGAAGATTTTATTTGTTTTTGTAGAAGGCCATTAATTATTCTCCTTTTATTATTGTACTCTTCTTAAACACCATTGAGCCAGTCTGGTACAGTATTAGAGGTAGGACAGGAAGTGAGACAGAGAGGGAGAGGGACAGAGATAGACAGAGAGACGGACTGTGCCAGCAAACACTTTTGATATATTTGAACAGTGTGAAATCCAGCCAGTGATGTCACCAGACACTTTTCACAGTCATTTATGATTTAAACAGTAATATTGTTCAGATATTTTCTTTGAATG